GCGGTACTTCTTCGCTATCGGTCCCTCGCACATATTTAGCCTTGGATGGGACTTACCACCCAATTGGGGCTGCATTCCCATGCAACCCGACTCTTAAACAACACCTCGTTGCGCAACATTGTCCGGCGGTCGACGGGGCTGTCACCCTCTTCGACGTCCCTTTCCAGATAACCTGCACATGGCCCGCTGCTGAGGTTGCCTCTCAAGACTACAATTCAGGGAGCAACACAGCCCCTGGATTTTCAGTCTGGGCTATTCCCRGTTCGCTCGCCGCTACCAAGGGAATCCTCGTTGGTTTCTCTTCCTCCGCTTAGTTATATGCTTAAATTGGGCGGGTGCTCCCGCCCGACCTGAGATCAAAAGGCAAGGCCCGACGTACCTCCAAAGCTCGAGGCCGACACCCCCAACCACAAGCCCACCTCAAGCTGATGGGAGCGAATGGAAGGCGGCGACTACACAAACCAGAGGGACGACCTTACGTGCCGTTTTCAGGGAAACGAAGACCACCACCCACAAACGGGTGCTGGAGGGCAACAACAGGGCGGAGCGAAATGCACCACTTTGGGCTGCGGCCCCCTTAGGCCCGCTCGGAATGCTCTCCAATTCCCTTCCACTTTAGGCTATCGACGCTCTCCAAGTGGGAAGCGAGGGAAGCCACGACCACGGACCCCACCACTCTCCGAAACGGAAGGTGCTGAGGTCGTGAGGAATCCAATGATGCTCAGGCGGGCGTGCCCTCGGCAGAAGCCTTGCGCGCCACRTGCGTTCAAGGTATCGATGGCTCACGGATTTCTGCAATTCACATTCAGTATCGCATTTCGCTGCGCTCTTCATCGTTGCGAGGGCCAAGATATTCATTTGCCGAGAGTTCTACAATATGGTGCCRTTCCGACAGGACCGACCCCTCGACCAAAACTGAAGGGGGTCGTCAACCCGGACAACGACAAATCAGAGCAGGTACATCAATAAGAAGTTGCAAGGCCGTCGCCACCAGCCGCTGCCACGGGCCCGCCTGACCCCCCGTTCAGGGGGCCTGGCAGGGCACTGGGGAGCAGCGGGGCAACGAGGGTACAAGTGCTGTCTCGTCCCTCCTCCCCAACTCGAGACCACCCCGTTCAAGACCAAAACCGTCCCCCAACGGCCCTCCACCCCGAGATTCAGACCACCTCGACTGTGTCGAGGACGMCGATCTGTCCGGAAAGGAGAACCGTGTTGGGAAGGAGGGCAGGACGAAACGGGGAGGGGCCGAGGACCCCGCAACACACCCCGCCCCTAGCCTGTACCACGACCCTCGACCCCCAAACAAGCCACGAGCTCCGCACGAAGCCGAGGTCGAGGTCGGGATGGAAAGGAGGTCCGGACAAATCTGAGACAAGAAGGAGCGGGGGTACGCAGGCCGAGGACAGCCGCCACCACCCACCATCCCGCCCCTGACCCTCCCGCAGGGYTGTCCGTGCCCGGACCAACCGCCATCCCGACCAGAAGTCGAGAGTGGGGCTGGGCCGAGGTAATAACTTGCGGAGGCGGGACGAGATGAAGGGGGAGCAACGCCACAAGGCCCCGGACCCTGCCCACTCCCCCAACCCTCTACCTACACCACGCGCCCCTCTGGGCCGGGCCAGTCGCCAGCTGGGCACTAAGCCCAAGATGGTGCTGAAACGGAAGACAAAAGCGGATGCAGGGAGGATGGGGGGCAAAGGGCGGCGGAAGGGCGAGCAAGCCAGCGTCCCACACCCCGAAGATCGGCCATTCACGTGTCAATGATCCTTCCGCAGGTTCACCTACGGAAACCTTGTTACTACTTCTCCTTCCTCTAAATGATAAGGTTCAATGAACTTCTCACAGCACCCCCAGCGGCAAACCGCCGAGATCACCGCAATCCAGATACTTCACCGGACCATTTAATTGGTAGGAGCGACGGGCGGTGTGTACAAAGGGCAGGGACGTAATCAGCGCGARCTGATGACTCGCGCTTACTAGGCATTCCTCGTTCAAGATCGATAATTACAACAATCTATTCCCGTCACGATGAACCTTTAAAGGGTTACCCGGGCCTTTCGACCCAGGCAAGCGACTCGTTCGATTCATCAGTGTAGCGCGCGTGCGGCCCAGAACATCTAAGGGCATCACAGACCTGTTATTGCCTCAAACTTCCGTTGGCTAGTCGTCCAACAGT